AAGTTATAATTGATTTTTAGGACAAGATAGTTTTATCCTTTTTTAGGTTTTTCATATAAAATCTTTTAGTATTTCTACAAGTATGTTTTATTCATGGAGGTGTGTGTTGAATCCTTTAGCAAGAGGCATCAAGTAAATTTTATTGTTAGTAATTCGGATCTTAAAAACATCTTTACCTGAATATGTAAATTTTTTGATTATTTCCGAACAAAAACAGAGAAAACTCATGAAATAGATAGTTCATATTTACAAACAATAACTATTTCAAAATCTAATAAACAAGTCCCGCATTCACCAACAGCTGCTTAGTATCAACAACCTCTAAACAGTTCCAGTTCCTTCAAAACCGAAACAGATATCACGAAAACTCAAAAAACAGATTTAGTAAAACCAAAGATGTCCAAAAATATTTACAAACAAAAAAAAGAATCATTTCATTTCCGACAAAGAAGCCCGACAATCCCCAACAGCCGAGCAGCTTCAGCAACGCTTAAACTGAGGACGACGCCCAACCAGAAGGACTTTCAAAACCGAAAGCGGCGCTCTTAGACCGGCCTCAGCCGGAGCTACTGCCGATCTGCAGAGCGGACAACAGAACCGGCCAAGATTCAGCCACCGGTCCATACAATCAACGTGAAAAGCATGGCAACAGTTCCCAAGCTCCCGAACGTGATCCTCCGCCTCTATGTACCGAAGGCAAATAACACATTCCTCCTTCGCCTCATTTGTGCAAAATTTTCCTTTTTTCTGGATGAATCTCTGGAACTCCATAACCGGCAGCTTGCACTTGAGAGACTCGGCAATGGAAGTGGATGTTGGCACGGGGATGCCGACGGAGGAGAATAAGACATCCTCATTCTCCCATGGGGTCGCCTCTGGATCGAAGTTTGGGTTGAGTCCGATCCGATGGAGGAGGAAGAAAAAGCTGTATTGGAGAAGGTCGAGGAGGTAGAGGAAGGTGATGACTGCTTTGGGGATCATTGTAACAGGAAGAGAATAAAATTTTGTCTGGCTATTATCGACTTTGAAATCTTAAATAAGAGTAGCGGTGGCTTCGCGTTACATAAGATAATACTTTTGGATGATGAGATGTT